GTTCAGATGTTCGTCCCCAATATTAACCGTGAGCGTGAATCTAACTCGTGTCGCTGGATTCGTAGCGCAGAACGCCAACCCACTACACTACCGTTCCGCATACGTGGACACAGACACACACACAGTTTATTATGTTTGTATGTATGTAGACCTTCTTTAGCACCATACGTAGCCAACCGTGCTATATCGGAGGTAGAAGGGATGCTCCCTTTTAGCCAGATGTGGGGCTATTTTACACGAGAAATCTGTGCTGTAAGAGAAATCTGTGCTGTAAGAGAAATCTGTGCTGTAAGAGAAATCTGTGCTGTGCGAGTACAGCAGCAACAAGAACAAAAGACAAACCATACATTCTGTATTACAGAGAACAGGTGCATGGTCCTTAAGGAATATTGCACATCGAACAAAGACGGCCCACTGCATCGCACGCTTTCAGATGCACTTCTGCGGCCGTCTGGAATGCTCTTCCTTCCCGAAATTAGGAACCCACTTTTGCAGGAGGAATGACACACAAAGATTGAAAACTTTTCTCTTTAGAACTGCTTTTTTGTGTTGAATTTGTTCTCATTTCCCCTAATCTCCGATTAATATGGTTGGCTACATACGGTGCGAAAGAAGTTCAAAATACAGTACATACATACAACAACGAAGATGTTTTTTGATCGCCTTTAGCGATGTTAACACTCGTGCCAAATCACACAAGGGAAATAGCGGTGCTAGGCAAACTGGCTAAAACTTGAACGCGGCTTTATCTAGGCAAACATCACCCAAACATGACCGTCTGGAGGATATGTCAAGACAGCACATGGAACCGTTGGGGACCAACATACCAACCATGGCCTAGATTTGTGTGTTTGTTTACTGGATAGGCACCCCATCTGCACCAACCTGCAAATGACCAGTGTGGTAAAGTATGGTCAAACATGACTGATGCAGTCAGTCACGGCGGAATCACTTTTGCAGAATTTATGGCCGATGTTGGAATTCCACAAAAAAATCCTGATAAACTACATTTTCTTCAGTTTCATTTCAGTTTTATTTATTTTGGTATAGCCCTGTGAGCCATTCGGCTCTTGAATCGGGTGCAACCGCAACAAACAAAAACATGAACAAGAAAACATCTTAAATCGGGCCCTCCCCCCCCTCATTACAAAAATAATATTTCCCCAATAAGACGAGTTCACCGAAAGGTTGAGATCTTCCATTTCTCTCAGTGATGCTACAAAAAGACGTATTTATTCTTATCATTACGAAGCTTTGTTTACCCAGCAAAGCCCTATCCCCATGTCTCAAGACTTTTTCAGGAGGGTACCTGCCGGGTTTTCACAGCAGAGGGCAATGTTGCCGTCTGTAATCCCAATTTATTAATGTGCAGGCATTTTATCCTTTGCATGGGGAAGTTTGGCCAATGTCATTTACATAATATGTTTATTTGTCTCTTGGAAGAAACCCATATAAAACGGGGAAAAATACAAAAAGGTGCCACATGTTTAAGGAAAATTTCAATTTACTTGACACACAAGGAAAACCCCAGATAGGTATTGAACCTACACTTTTGTTGCTGCGAGGCACAAGTGGTACCACTGTGCCACCCCGAACTGCTCAACGCTGAAGCAAGATAAACCGCATTCTACATTGTAATGGCCAAATGCTTTACCTGTCACAGACTTTTCACGAGATCCCTACAGTTAAACTGTCAATCAAAGAATCTGGGTTTTTTTTCTTCCTCATAAATGTAAAACAGTACCGGTAATTTATTTAAAAGGCAAAACTATCAGGCTCGTTTGTCCAGTTTGTATGAAATGAAATATTTTGCGTTGCCCACAAACGATAAGACAGCAATCCCAGTCGGATGATTCCAGAACGCCGTTTCGCCAGCAATACAAATCGCCTTATTTTGTCACGACAATTTAGAAACCTGTTCGTACCAATTCTAGGAATATAGGCAATAGGATAGCATTGTTACAGATACCCCGTACTACGTACTCTATAGTGCTGTGTTTGTATTGTGCTGATAATCCCTACTCCAAGCCAGCCTGGCAGCATTCCATAAAACAGAGTGAAAAAGTCAAGCCTTCACTCACGTCAAGTTACATGTATTGCATTACGAGATGCTGTGTGGTTCGTGCAGGGAAAGGACCCGTTGTTGGCAAACATCGGTGGCAAGTGATAGCCGAACCTGTGTTTGCGACCTGTTACTTTACGATCCTGAACTGACCACCAGTGGCACTGAAGTGTGGTCAGACCAACCCTCATCACCAATATGGCATGGCGAAGCTTTCATCCGGAAGTGGATTAACTAAGGGCTGCAAATAATCATTATGATTACAAGTGTATCGCTGCATGGCTGCAAACGACATAATGCATCTTGAAACTTGAAAGTCAATGCAAGAAAAACGTTGGCTACAAATCAGATGTGTCGTTCAAGTGTGCAGAGCTTACGGTAACCAATGCCACATCACTAAGAGTACAGTAGATGTGTTGCACAATGATGTGGTCTATTATTTTTATTACTATTTTTGAAATCTGGCCCAGATTCAAAATTCACCAATGCGTTTTCCCCCCCCCCTCCCCCAAATGTACTCCACTGGAATATTGATGAACTCACAGAGGCAAAAATATATTAATATATTAACAAAAAAATACTGCATTACAGTTAATTGTCATTAAATAATAATGAAATTGATTGTTGGTAATGTTAGGGAGGCGCTATGTTGGTCTAGCACAGGGGTAAGGCAATCTGCGGATCTTAACACCTTCTGTTTTAGTGCCTGGAATTGGACGAACCTATTCTTATTTTTCATACTTTTATAATGGCAAAAAGGTATCCCATGACATAGCTGCTCACCCTGAAGTATAAATGCGTCGATACGTGCATTGTCTTTGTACTGTTCGTCTTTTGGTGGTGTTCTCTGGTCTGACACTGGTGAGGCTGAGCCATAAAGAAGGCCGTCTCTGGTGTAGGCCAATCAGTTTCAAATGCAATGCATCATATTATTCATAATAAAGGTTTTTTTTGGGTTAGATCACGTTATTTATAAATGTTGTCGTAACCCTCCACCACCCGAAACGGCCAATCAGCAAAAAAGTGTCACGTTGACAAAAGACAAATAGTTCACTACTTTTAGCCCACCGGTGTGTTGAAGAGTGAATCCACAACATTCACAGTTTGAATACGACGTTTCGCTGGTAATTACATCCAGCATCATCGGGAAATTCACCAGAGCATGTTCGTTTTGCGTGTTTACCACAAATACGTGTGGTTAATGCAGACTGGATTCCTTACAAAAGGCATCTAATTTGGTGTTTGAATATCTTAACACCTGTTTTATTGCCAGAAAGGTTATTTATTAAGGACCCACCTGCCTCGTATTCGCATTGTTTGAAATCGACTATTTTTGTTTATCGAATTCGGAAAAAAATTCCCTTCTTGCTATTCTGGTCTTGCAACAAGCCAATTAACAAAAGACAGTGTCGACATTAATAAAAAAAATCGATAGTAATAATGGCCAAGTGTCACAAGTTATGTTTATGTACATAAACCATCTACAGAATGTGTATTGGAAGAGCAGTTGGGGCCAACAAGATAATGTGACCAAAACTATTTACAGCCTGCAACATCGGAAGATGTTTTCTTGAGAATAGATTGGTGAAATAAAAAAAGCATAAATAAAATATTAGCCGGGGCTCAGATATGCTGATCATCATAGGAGTGGAAATTAACGACAGGAAATCATGCATGTCAACAAACCCCTTATCAGTGCCTACTTTATTTCAGACCATTTCAGACCTTATTGGTCACCTCGTGCCCTTATGAATCTCAACGTTCAACCTACAAAGTCCCATAACAAGGGAGAAACACAAACGGACAATTTTTGTTCTGCTCGTATTGAAACGGCTGTACACCGTGTGGATCTGAAAACTCAATTTTTCTGTACAAGAATACGGGGTAAAACCGTTTGGGTTGTCAGCTATGGGATGTGTACGAGGGGCCACACTCATCCAGGGCCTACATCCAGGCTCAAGGCTGCTTGGCTTCAAAGGGCCTATGGGATCAGGAACATTCCATGTGATTTGGTTATCCACGTGTTCTTTTATATAAATAAATCAAGGCGGCAGTGTTTGACAACGATAGCAGTGGTGAAGTGATACTACTGGTGTTGGCCAATCCGTTTCAAAAGAGAAATTCATATATTATCAGAGTTTGTATGCATGTTCAGCACAAGCACTGTGTGTGGTTAACGCAGACTTCATTCCTCGCAAAAGGCATCCATTTGGTGTTTGAACGTCTTAACACCACCCTGTTTTATTGCCAGAAACGGTAAACCCCTATTCTTATTTTTCACAAAGTAATACTATTGTGATTCAGTACTACATCTGCTTGTTTTAAACCACCCACTGCCAAAGCAGATCGGGTCTCATTTGAACGTCATTTGCACAAAAAAAGACAGCTTAATAAAAACAAGGGTCTTTTTTACATTTTGTTCAAGCTACTTTGGTACACATACGATCATTCACATGGTAGCCGTGCCATAGAGTTGAATACAAATATCGGGTTTGTGACATAACACGCGCTCACTCTTAATATCACATTGCACGCACGTGAGACTGGTGACAAACACGTCTGGCGAACATCAAAATAATACACTATCATCCTCGACAGGAAACAAAGTTCAGGACTATGCTAAAGACACGAAATGCCACGGGAAGATTAGTTTCCCTTAACTGAAACATTACAAAGTTAATGGCAGACGATAGCATATGCAAGTAAGAAAACCCGGTCTTAACATTGCTACATTACGGATGTTAAGCATAGCCTACGCATGATAAGCAATCTAAGTTCACGAATATGAACCCGCTTGGTTCAAAACGTGGGTTTCGTTATCATTCCAAGTATTCGGTGTGCAGCGAGTAATGGAAGCGTTGCGGATGACGGGTCGAGTGTGTTTGTGTTCTCGCATTTGTCTCGAGCGGGAATAAAAAAAAAGGCACCACATACTCACAAGCAACTTAAGAGCCCCTTCGTGGTCATCAGACGGCACCACGCGTGTCGTGTCGACAGATTATTCACAGGACGCTCGGCTCGGTCTACCTACCAGCCCTGCAACGTCGGGCGGGCCGAAGGGGAATTGAGACCCTTCGACCCCATTAAACATTCTAAAGAGTCCAAGGGAAAAAAAAACAGATGTTGGTACACAATTGAAGAATGATGTTGCCAGCCGTCTCCTAGTTTACACAGGGCACGTAAGCGCGCGTGTGTGTGTGTGTGTACGTACGTACGTGTCGTCAACCGTGCGAGATCTGGTGGCGCAGAATGCAAGCGAGAACAAAGACAAAGGGGCAGGTCTCGTACCTTTTTTGTTTGTTAAACTCGTTCTATGGAGTACATTTGCTCACGTCCTGTTTATCACCGTCTCGTGTCCTGCCCCGCCGCCAATTGTACCTTCTCTCTTGGGAGCTGGGCGAGGACGAAAGCAAGGGGAGAGATTTTTCCCCGCTTCAATCCACGGCGAGTCGTGAGCTCAAAGCCCCCCTCGTGAAAAGGTGTGAGGCACCAGGTGCCCTGGGCTCTCTCACCTCCATCCACCGGGGTCTCACATTCCAAAGGTCGCCCCCCCCCCCCCTGCTACGAAACTGGTCCGGCAACTTTCGTAATGAAGTGGCTTTATCACTGACTGCGGTCGGTATGTTTTATTGTGTGTGTGTGGACATACACACACACACACCAGGAGATCATCACACATATACGCAGAGGAGGGCTGCCTGTGTGATGGCACCATCTGAACTCAAATAAGCACCTGGTGCAGTGTTTAAAACATCGCCACTAAGGAGACAAAGGCGGCCGGGCGTGGTGCCGGTCACATCATCTGCTTGTGTGCAGTGCCGGACTTCATAGGTGCTCGCTAACAGTACTTGCCCCAAAAGTCTCTTCAGGCTATAGGAGGACTTTTGTTGTCTTTTCGGCGTATTTGTTACATTTCCACCAATATATTACATAGCCATTTAACATATTCGGTACGTTAATTTTTTGGCATTATATTACATTAGAAATGTTTCATTATCTAGTGTTGCAAATCGATCATTAAAAAGATCTATAATTAAACGCATATTTCTTGAAGTAACGTTGATACTTCTTATTTAATATATTGCCAACAATGAAACAAATGCCAGTTGCGTATCTTACCCATAAATCATCACGTGTGTAAGTGGCTACCGAAGATATTGGTGAAATTTAAACAAGGATTAAGGATGAAACAAACATAACAGTAAAAATGCCATACGCGTGTGACGAATGCAAATAAGCTGGAACGGTTTTGTGAGTTTGGGGGGGGGGGTTTGGACGTGGACGTCAACACTGCAGGTGACCAACACGACAGAATGGTGTATGGAGACACGTGTACGGGGTGGTCCAGATTTATTGTGACCCCCCCTCCCCAATTAAATTCTCAAAAAATGTTAATCTTTTTGAAAGTAAGGTTTATTCAAAAACAGACATTTATATGGAAAGGAACAACACTGTTTTTATTGTGTTATTTTATTTTATCAATTTATTATTTTATTCTCATAAAATACCGAAAGAACCAAAGAAGATGAATCCTTGCAGTCACGAAAGCTTTAAATCGAAAGACTGTTAGGAGTCGATTAAATGGTGGGGGGGGGGGGGGGGGGTCACAAGACATCTGGACCTGCCAGTACAGCGCGTTGTATAGCGATGTTCGCCACGTTGTGGGTGCTTTATGAACTGAGAGCAACAGAAGCAGAATGGCCCCGTTTGCAAGAAAGCATTTGGCAAATATTAACAAAGAATAAAAAAAGCCTGCATGCATGGACGTTTTTATAGCTTTCAGGTGTACTGTATTTGCCCTCGGATTTAGTTAATTCTTGAATTGATTTAATCATTACGTCCAACGAAATGTCACACGCAATGCAAAATAATCTCACCGCTTCAATGATATCCTACACAATAACAATACATCGGCAATGTCTCCTTCACATATCCATCTCGCCACGTAAAAACACTAATATATAAAAGTATTTACGCAACCCAAGCAGCCGTACACACTGCCTTCTGGGAGCGTGTCATTTCGGCAGCATTGCTTGGAGACAACCCACAAACCCTGGTCCGGTTTTGACACGCAGTGCCTCTCATCAGCGGCATGATCATTCTTGCGTGAATCAAGGACTTAAATGACGTCACGCGATTTTGGACAATTTTTGACCCCCCCCCCTCGTCACAAAAAGTCAGACCCCCCCTCAAATATGACGTCACAAAGCTCTGCCCCCCCTCCCCCCCAAAAAAAAAACATGCTTCAAAACTAATGTCATTGTAGTGCGTATTTAATGTGGCGCTACACTCTGATGTTATAGGAGAAAACATTTATTAAAACGTCTATTTAATTAAGTAGAACGTGTTGTCTATATTTATTTAAAGTTGCGCATTTTGATGTGACGTCACATTTCTAAACCCTCCACCGCCGTCACACATCGTCACAAATGTCTGAACCCCCCAAAACCAATAGGTGCGTGACGTCATTTATGGACGGCCCCTTAGCTCAACGTGAGACGATATATCACAAGTCTAAAATATATATATATAAAACATATAAGCACGCGTAATGACGGCATAGCGATAGCTTTTCTCCAGGGCAAGTACCTCGCAGCAACATTCTGGGCTGATCTTCTTTGGTTCTTTCGGTAAAGTCACGTAGAATGAGAATAAAATAAGAAATTGATAAAATAAAATAACACAATAATATTCTCACGACGTTTCGGCCACAACACAAGCGGCCTTCATCAAAAAAATTCTGGGCTGAGTTGGTCATCGACAAATGCGTTGTGCCGTTCACGTATTCGACAGCGCCTGTAATCGGATGCATTACTAACATTAACACATTTAGGCGTTTTGCTCCGTCGTCAGCATGTTATGAACATCCCAAATGGTTGCACAGTACTGCATTCGCACGGGAATTGTACAAAAAGAAAGCGTTAATTAACTACTCGTCCGTACACGCAAAGCCACCGCACGTCCCTTGTTTTCCACCGCGGGCGCTTTTGGAAGATCCGGACCCTTACGAGAGACCCCCCAAGGGCTTTAAAACCATGGGCAACACAGCCCACGACAGAATGAGAATCCCAATATTTACGTGTTACTGGAGGAATCCGATGTGCTATGAAGCTCTTCCCTCTCCCCCCCCCCCCTCCCACACGTATGTCCAGTTGTTGGCGTGGGTCAGAAGGTGACAACAGCACAACAATTTACGAAGTTGATTTTTGTTTTGGTGAACATTTTGCTGAGCACAGCAAGGCGCAAAAGGCTCGACGCGACAAGCGATCAACGGCAGTCGGCAGCTCTTAAAATTGTGCTTCGCTGTTGTCTGGTGCTGTTTGTTTTCTAGGAGGGTAGGGTTCATCCATTGAGTCGGTAGGCAAAAATCTGTCAGAACTTGAGCCCTCCCTGTAGGCACGCGAACTCTTTACACCACCCCCCCCCCCCGAATCCTATAGAACGGCCGATATTTAATCCACGCAGAAACGATCAAGGATTAATCAAATTAAAGTCTTTAAGCAAACAGTCCACCGCCGGACTAACTAATTTGAAGGCCAATGTAGACAAATTATTATCGAGGCTTCACCCCCCCCCCCCGTTTCCTATGCGTACGCATATTGTCAGTAGACCCCCCCCACCCATACGCAAGCGTTCACATTTGGGTTAACCCCCCTCCATGTGTACGTACTAGATGGGTGGCCCGCGAACGCATTAAATGAAAAGCGCAGGATGAATTCAGGTGAACGCGTCCGACCGTGTCAGCTCAATCACGTAATTGTTAATGTTGTGGATTTACTCTCCAACGCGCACGTGGGCTCAAGTAGTAAATAATTGGCACGTTTTGTTTACGTGACGAACTTTACTCGCTGTGTCGGCTGGTGGATGGTTACGACACATGTATTCTTACGCGATCTAACCCAAAAACCTTTATTATGAATCAATCACGTAATGCTACTGCTGGACGTCTGTGCAAAAGCGCTTTATAGCTCATCGGCTTTCCTCCAGTAGAAATAAATGTAGCAGCAGAGTTCCAAGTGTCTTTCTGTTTTGGCCAGGTGAGGCTGCAGGGGAACAGGACGAGTCTCGATTGGCACGAGTGAGCAGGGTCATCAACGGGGAAGCGAAACAAAGCAGAATAAAAAGTGGCCGTCCATAAATGACGTCACGCAACTAGGGGGGGGGGGGGGTTCAGACATTTGTGACGATGTGTGACGAGGGGAGGGGGGGTGTTGAGAAATGTGACGTCACATCAAAATGCGCAACTTTAAATTAATATAGACAACACGTTCTACTTCATTACATAGACTTTTTTTAAACACATCCCTGCGGAGGGAGCTGGTAGGAACGTTGGGTTGCTCGGTCAATGGCCAGGGTCAACAACTGCGGCACCACGTGGTGTATTCCGCAAATATGCCCGACTGTGAGGGCGGGCACAAGCCGGCGTGAGTAGGTTAAACGTTGAGTTTTATAAGGGCACCACGGGGTGACCAGCCCCTCCCCACCCAGCCCCACCCCTCCCACCTCCCACCAAGCCCCACCCTCCCCACCCCCCACCCAGCCCCACCCTCCCCACCCAGCCCCACCCCTCCCATTTTATCCGGGTGTCCGGATACACGTGGACAGACATCCACAGACATACACAATTAATCCCCTGCCTCCTGTGAATTAATCCCGGTTGGGCTTCCAGTCCACTACGTTTCCTACCAGTACAAATGTTTTCTCCTACAACATCAGAGTGCAGCGCCACATTAAATACGCACTACAATGACAGTAGTTTAAAGCGATTTGATGCATGTTTTATTTTTAAAATGGAAACATGGTTTGGGGGGGGAGGAGAGCAGAGCTTTGTGACGTCATATTTGAGGGGGGAGGGGTCTGACTTTTTGTGACGACGGGGGGGGGGGGGGGTCAAAAATCGTCAAAATCGCGTGACGTCATTTATGGACGGCCCCAAAGTACCGTTTAGCGATAAAACAAATGGAAATCAGTGCAAAAAAACCCACAAACAACCGTGTCACACGAGAAATCGTTTGAGCCTGCATCACGATTGGACTGGTGCACACAATGAATTGCTCAGGTGTTACAGGCTGCGGCCGGGCTATATTGCCAGTAGGGGGCAGTGCAGCAACATTTATTGTTGTACTATAAGTACGACTCTCCCGTGCGACCACATCTATGCTCCCTGCCTTCACCAAGCCACGCTGGACACGATGAAGCATGGTCAGAATAAGCCCGATAAGCCACACACAGTGAGGAGGGGAGGCCATCATCCAGCAGCGAGCTGTCAAAAAGAGCTTTACAGGTACACGCACAGACGCGTACCTGTGGGTGGGGAACCTTTTTTGTGCCAAGGGCCATTTGGATATTTGTAACATCATTCGCATGGCCATACAAAATTATCAACAACAAAAATTAGCCTGTTATATTTGGTCAAACATTTAATTAACTCGCCCCTAATGCGATGGGCTGGAACTGCCTCTCTTTGGCGAGGCGTGCGATGATGTTAGCTGGTATTGACGATGTT